AGCAGAATGTTAAGCAAGCAGCAGTAATAAATCCACTTTTCCTCCTTGCTGGACTGCAGACACTGACTCTGCTTAACCTGCGATGCAGCAATCTCTTGTTTTTCAAGAGGTACAGGCTGATCCTTTGCAGAAAAAATGCAACAGCTTAGGTGTGCCTGCATAGGACCAGGCACATCCAAGCCTTGTTCAATCTCCACAGGCCGCACCTCTCACCTGCTCCGCTCTGTGTCCCCATCAACTGCTTTTGCTTCATTGGAATGAGTTATTGAACTGTGTTAATGTCTCTTGCATGCCTCAATGATGGATTGAGAGAAGTATGTATGTATGTATATGTATGTATGTATGTAGCATTGCACCCACAGAGAGCCAGCGTGGTGTAGTGGTTAAGAGTGGTAGACTCGTAATCTGGTGAACCAGGTTCGCTTCCCCGCTCCTCCACATGCAGCTGCTGGGTGACCCTGGGCTAGTCACACTTCTTTGAAGTCTCTCAGCCTCACTCACCTCACAGAGTGTTTGTTGTGGGGGAGGAAGGGAAAGGAGAATGTTAGCCGCTTTGAGACTCCTTAGGGTAGTGATAAAGCAGGATATCAAATCCAAACTCTTCTTCTTCTTCACATTTGCACCTGGCCCTACCCACCACTGGCCATGCAGCCCCTGGTGTGGAGAAGTATGAAGGGAGAGGAAAAATCAGATTTTAATTTGGCAACTGATGTTGGCTTCCATGCATTGGTTGCAAAGTCTGCTCATGGCCTATGCACATATCACCCAAAGATGCTCAGACTTTGGTACCACAAGCATTCAAGGCATGTTCAAGCATTTGCTGTAGCACACAAATGATCAAATTGTATATGCTCTCTGCTCTGTCCTCACCACTGGTGGTAGTTCCGAAACAGGCTGCATCTTTGGCGACTGCAGCTGGGGCTTTCATGTCAACAGAGCCTCCACACCCCCAGCTAGCCACCAGCAGTGGAAGGACACCTTTGCCAAATCCCACCTCAGCAGTGTAAATTAAGGATTGGGATTGCTGCCTTGCTTCTCAAGAAACGTTAAAATCACACTAAATTGCTACAAAACTGCACATGGCTGGCGGTATAAATTCCACTGAATTTTGAGGAAAAAATGAAAGCAAATTTACTACTTTTATGATTAAAGCATGTGTGCATCTTGAAACTGCTTGCATTGTCCCAAATTTACACTGTTATTATACCTAATTTACATAGCAAATTGAATAGATTAGGCTAATCATTGAACAATGCCGTTTCTAGTTATCCAGTGCTTTCAAAATGAAATTACATTTTATCTTCGGTAAGAATACACACATTTATGTCATTTAATGACTAGATCAAGTCGAAAAAGACCTGACTGGATATCCATCAGGGATCATATGCATAGTTAATTAAGCTTGAAATAATAAATTCCCAATTTCCACAGGATAAGGTAAACAGCCAATTAAAGCCGGATGTAGTCATTACCTTCCCCACTTATTATTCAAAAGCATAAAGTATCTGCACATTTCTTAAATAATTTACTTGTATTAAAATAAAGTAAAATGCTTAAAGCATTAATAGGGTGCTTTACAACGGAGTAGTCAATAAGGGCACTATATCAGGTCCATGTAAATATTTTATGGTTTTATTAAGTAGATAGGTATGCAGCTTTCTGCATTCCAGAAAACCGACCACTGAAGTCTGCTAGGCAGCTGGCCAAGTTTTTCCATGTAAGGGCACAAATTCCATGAATTTATTTCCTTATTTCCTCCTAAACAGGAGCCAGATCCTGTGCAGTGCTTGGTGTCTAATGCCAATTGCTCAACACACTGTCTAACGTGTGACTTCCCTCCCTCCAGTTTTACTCCTTGGCATTAAGACTATAGTAAGGCATAAATATATATCAGGTTTGGAGGAAATTAACATCCTTGTCACAAAAGGAATGGATTAAGGAGTAACTTTATCATAACAAAGGTTCTGTGTGCTTAGCAACAAAAATTCTATGGTTGTAGCGTTTCCTGGTAGCTGTGGGAAAGATAGCAAGCTTATTTCTTTATTTTTTTTAAGCAGACACAGCTGTTAAAAGAACAGAACCTGTAGTCAGTATTCAAAGCAACTCTGTGCTCCAATAGTATGTAACATATAAGAAGACCACACGCTAATGTGGTATAACTTTGTGTATCAACGCAATCTTATCACTCACCAGAACACTTGGAATTGGAACCACCAGGCTGTTTTTAGTTGCTGGAGAGATAGCTTAGAGTTTAGGAGTAATAAATCATCATTGCTCCTTGAGATATTTCTGAGCTCTCATTTGGCTCCCCCTGGAGCCTTCTGTTTAACAATATAACCTTTGTATCCTGTATCTGGAGCACAGCCTATCTCTGAGATTCTCTTGGAGTTTTAGACCTCCAACTATGTGCTACAGAATCATAGAACTGTAGAATTATTATTATTATTATTATTATTATTATTATTATTATTACTTTCCAAGTTTATACATTTCCACTAATTTTACAATCATTTTGACATTTCAAAACTTGATTTCCTTCCCCCTCTTTCTGCGGTTCCTTAAATTTATTTTTTAATAACTTCTGCATATCCAAATTAACTTAATTTGCTCATTTATTCATCTGATTTAAATGTATGCTCTTATGAAACTGCAGGTTACTGCAATAATCCTGCCAATGTTTTTATCTGTTTACAATTTATCTGTAAATATTCAATAAACCATTTCCATTGTTTTTTTAATATATAAAAGTTATCTTGATTTCTTATTCTTCCGGAAAGTTTCGCCATTTCTGCACAAGTTTTTGTATCCTTTGCTGCGACTTCTGCTTTTATCTATTTTGGGGCAAATAACAGAGACGAGAAAGAACTGTAGAATTTGAATGGATCCCAAGGGTCAACTCGTCCAACCCGCTGCAATGCAGGAATCACAACTAAAGAATTTAGGCTAGATATAGTCATGCGGGATATAGTCAAGGGACGCGGGTGGCGCTGTGGGTAAAACCTCAGTGCCTAGGACTTGTCGATCGTATGGTCGGGCGGTTCGAATCCCCGCGGCGGGGTGAGCTCCCGTCGTTCGGTCCCAGCTCCTGCCAACCTAGCAGTTCGAAAGCACTCTTAAGTGCAAGTAGATAAATAGGTACCGCTTTATAGCGGGAAGGTAAACGGCGTTTCCATGTGCTGCGCTGATGCTGGCTCGCCAGCTGCAGCTTCGTCACGCTGGCCACGTGACCCGGAAGTGTCTTCGGACGGTGCCGGCTCACGGCCTCTAGAGCGAGATGAGCACGCAACCCTAGAGTCGGACACGACTGGCCCGTACGGGCAGGGGTACCTTTACCTTTACCTTTTTATAGTCATGCAACCTCTGTTAAAAAACCTCTAAGAAAGTAGAGTCCAGCACTCTCGAGGCAGTCCATTTCATTGTCAAACATCATCAGAAAGTTCTTCCTAATGATAGTCAGAATCTCCCTTTGAATCCATTGATTCCTCTGGAGCTGCAGAAAACAAGGTTGCTCCAACTTCAATATGACATCTCTTCAGATATTTGAAGATGGCTATCATATCCCCTCTCAGTCTTCTCTTCTCCAGGCTAAACCAGAGACCCAGAGTGTTAACCCGAAGAAAGCTGTGCACAAAAGAGGATAGACATGTCAAACCTTTAGTAAAAACTGTTCTTATCTCAGATGGAATGAAGGAAGTCTGGGCTTTAAAGACTTTGTTAACCCAAGACCAGAAAAATAGTAAACCTAATAGCATGTTAGAAAATAAAAAAGCAATGATTAACACCAGAAAACAGTCTTTATAAGGAATAACCCAAAGAAATTGGTTTGATATTGGAGGGGACAAAACTTGATGCATTGTTATTATTTTTATTTTTAAAAAGAGACCTTCTTTATGTAGACCTCCTTGAGATTCTCATAGGAAAGTGTAAGAAAATAAAAATAAATTGCATATGATGGAGGTACAATTGACTGCAAAAGCATACTTATAATATGCATTTCATCTGTATAAATACCAAGGTGGAGTAATATAAAATAAATAATGGTAAAATCTAACAATAGCATTCTTGAACAAATAATAGGAGCAGATTAAAAGCTATATATATATATATATATATATATATATATATATATATATTCTGCCTCCAGGTCAAGAGGTAATATGAATTTCTTGGGAACAACAGTGGGAAAGGACTATTGCTTGTGGGCTTCCCAGAAGCCTCCGGTAGGAAATAGGCTGCTGGCCCTTGCTTGGATCCACCGGGGCTCTCCTACTCAGTTTGCCCACTGACTAAATTTCAGGACCAGGTATCAGGAATAAATTACACAGAGTAAGTTAACTCTTTATTAGAAGAAACCAGGTTGGCTCAGGAGAGTCGGGCTTCATGAGCACAGCAACTCTTCTCAGTAGGTCTTACACCTGAGAGGCAGGTGTGGAGTCTGAAGGTCCCTGCCATCCCATAGCTACCTAAATCTTCTCCTTGCCCGGGTCCTTCCAAGCAATCTGAGACTATGCCAACGGGTCTGTCTCTGCTCCTCCCTCTTCATGCCTCTTCTGGTTCTGGGAGACTGGGTTGGGGGAGTTTGTCACAGCAGGAGGGCAAGACACCCATGACTCTTCACTAGTCTGACCCATCTTTGCCTCTTGGCCTCCCTCCTCCCCTGCTTCAGCATCTACCTCTGATTCTGGACTTCTCTCTGCCACAGACTCTCCCTGCTCACTAAACCCTGTTACTTCTTCAATTTCCTATACCTTCTCCTCCCACTCCTCTCTCTCTTCTCCCTCTGACCATTCATGGTCATCCCACCACCAATCCCTGGTGTCTGAGCCTTCGTCCCTTGGAGGTTCCCCAGCTGGTGCCTCCCACCATTCCTCTGTGTGCAGCCAGTCCATGATTCTGAATATCTGTGAGTAGCAGGGACTCTCCCGCTCTGTGCTGTAGAAAGACCTGCAGCTGTGGCCCAAGCCGGAATTAAGATTGCCGGAAGAAATATCAACAACCTCAGATATGCTGAGGGCGATCTGGCTGCGACATCTGTCACCCCACTGATCGCCAGGGTTGATTCGGCTGATCTGGCTGGCTAGGCGGGTGTCCCCTTCCTCCCTCACCGCTCCATGTGCGTCCCTCCCGAAGCTGCGCGCTCGGTGGAAGAGGACGACCATCCCAGATAGAAGGAGTGTACCGTTCTTCGGTCAAGGGTATACGATAGCTGCGCTCCCCTGCTAGAACCTCCAAACAAGCGCAGATATGCTGATGACACAACCTTGATGGCAGAAAGTAAGGAGGAATTAAAGAACCTTTTAATGAGGGTGAAAGAGGAGAGCACAAAATATGGTCTGAAGCTCAACATCAAAAAAACCAAGATCATGGCCACTGGTCCCATCACCTCCTGGCAAATAGAAGGGGAAGAAATGGAGGCAGTGAGAGATTTTACCTTCTTGGGCTCCATGATCACTGCAGATGGTGACAGCAGTCATGAAATTAAAAGACACCTGCTTCTTGGGAGAAAAGCAATGACAAACCTAGACAGCATCTTAAAAAGCAGAGACATCACCTTGCCAACAAAGGTCCGTATAGTTAAAGCTATGGTTTTCCCAGTAGTGATGTATGGAAGTGAGAGCTGGACCATAAAGAAGGCTGATCGCTGAAGAATTGATGCTTTTGAATTATGGTGCTGGAGGAGACTTTTGAGAGTCCCATGGACAGCAAGAAGATCAAACCTATCCATTCTTAAGGAAATCAGCCCTGAGTGCTCACTGGAAGGACAGATCGTGAAGCTGAGGCTCCAGTACTTTGGCCATCTCATGAGGAGAGAAGATTCCCTGGAAAAGACCCTGATGTTGGGAAAGACTGAGGGCACAAGGAGAAGGGGACGACAGAGGATGAGATGGTTGGACAGTGTTCTCGAAGCTACCAACATGAGTCTGACCAAACTGCGGGAGGCAGTGGAAGACAGGCGTGCCTGGCGTGCTCTGGTCCATAGGGTCACGAAGAGTCGGACTAAACAACTAAACAACAACAACACTATAAACACAGGGGTTCTTGTTACTTTGAACTTTGATTGATGGCTCTGATCAACCCTAATAATTAAGATGCCCTAGATATTCATTCCAAAATTGCTTTGAATACCTAGGTCACAGGCATTCTGTAGACTAAAACTGAAGGACATTTTCACTGTGTTATTTGTTTATTTATTAACTGCTGCCGAGGGTTGCACTCAGAGCAAACACCTTGAAATCAATGCCCTTCATTAAGTCAGATTCATTTATTTCAATTGGTCTACTCTGAGTGTGATTACTATTAGATGCAACCCTGTATTTTTGTTGTTTTCTCCCTGATATAACTAGAAAAGAAGAAATGCTATCTGGGGCACAGTCATCTCGTTGGAAGAAGTCAATTTTAATTCTACTATTGAGCACACCAAATCCCTGATAAATGTCAACCCAAATGGGAGATCTGGATATTCAGAAACAACAGGGTTGCATTTAATTTCTGGATCTAGCTGAGCTAAATAAAAAATGGGGGAGGGGTCCCCCCCCACCACCAAAGAAACCCTGCTCTCCAGAAAGTTGTTTTTCAAACAGAATAACAGTTGGCAGGTGGGAAGTGGTGATTAGAGAGGCTGCAAAATAAATGAGTGCTGCCCCCCCACCCCTCTTTATTATAGGAAGGTAGCGAATGATGCGACTTGGCAAGATTCTATTTGGGTCATCAACCTTTAGAGCCAAATTCATTCCTGAAATAAACACAGCAAAATGGGTGAAATTAGACAAGTAATGTTGGTTTGCACTGTTTTCAAGTTAACTGCTCTGGCTTTCAAGGGGAAAATCTATTACTTAGACATTTATTTATGCCTTAGGTCTTATATAGCTTAGGGAAAGCTATTTTGTGATTTTCTTTTCTGGATGAGCTTTAGATTTTTGATGGGGCCTAATAACAATAATAAAATTAATAATAATAAAGTTGGATAGAGACTTACACTTTCAAAGTGGGTAAGGAAACAGGCTGTGCTTATATTTAGATCAAAGGGCAGCCGATTGTGTGTGTTTATGTGTTAAAGTACAGGTATTCTTAAATTAGCATAACCAAGCTTTTAATAGCAAAAAGGAAGATACCTTATTTAATAGAATAAATCTGTGGAATATATTTGCTGGTAATTCAACCCCCCCTTTTTTTCTTTTGGTAGCACGGATCCAGTGAGTACATGTAGGATAAGCCATTCAGGATTGGTCACAAGCAAAACAACAAGTGCTCTTTTTAGAAGCAGTCTCTTTATCTTCTCTTAGGGAATCATTCGTAAGATTGTCTTCCATAAACACGGTTTTAACAATGAGTCTGTAAGTGACTGTGGAGGTCAATTCTGGATCCACACATCCTTCCACAGTGGGGACATTGGTTTCTGGGCGGGAGTTGATCATGGTGTGGATTTGCCAAGCATGCCTTCCTCCCTTGCGTCCTGAGTTTGAGTGTCTTCAAAGCCCATGACACCTTTGGTAAAGGCTGTTCTCCAATTGGAGCGCTCACAGTATACTATAGTGGTCAGATGGCAAAAAAATCAGACAGAAGATGGATAGAAGAGGGAGACAGAGAGCTTATCCACAATTAGCTTTCCTCTGCTCTTTCCAGGCAAGTCTGTAATTTAAAGCTCTGTGTCTAAATGCCCCCCCTTTTTTGTCCCGGAGTTTTCCCTGTGAGAACCTGTTCTTTAAAGCTCAATTGGACCAAATGTCAATTTGCAGAGAAACTGAATTGATGTTTGCTTTGTTTCAGCTTTAAAGAGTGGGTTTTCATGGGGAAAGTTCGGGGCAACCCCCCCCAAAAAAACCCCAAAAGCTATTCTCAGACATGAAGTGTCAAAGCATGGACAAGAGTGGGGCAGAATGTAAGTGTGGATAAGCCCAGAGTTGAACAACATGGATCATATCAGATAAAATCAGAATTTGTGGTCAGATCCCGCATGGCCATGCATATTTATTAATTAACATAGTTACACTCTGTATTTTTTACAACTCCTCCCCCGAAGTACGACTAATAAATTAAAAGCAAAAACAAAAAAGCCAAAAGAAAATCAAAGCAACAAAGCCCCGGCAACATTACAAAGTGAAAGACACAATCTATCACCACAACCCCTAAAACTCTTTGGGAAAAGTCATGCTTTGAACAGGCAAGGAAAAGAAGCAACGATGGAGACAGCAGACTTCCCTTGTGAGGGCATTGTACAAATAAGGAAAGAAGGGCCATAGCTCAGTGGTCCATAGCTCTGCTTTCCATGTAGAAGGTCTGATCCTAGAGATTTCCAGGTGAGGCTGGAAGACACCTCGACCTGCAGTCCTAGAGAGCCTCTATCAGTTCCTAAAGGCAATGCTGAGCTAGATGGATAAGTGACCTGACACAGTACAAGGCAGCTTCTCATTTTTCTAGAGGCCCTCTGACTGAAAATTTGCAGTCTTTTATTCCCACTTCCCAAACTTCAGACAGCAAGGAGGCATGAAACAGGATCTCTGATGTTGACTTGAGTATATGGGAGGGTACCTGCACAAGGAGACAAGACTTAAGATAACTTGTTCTAGGATGATTAGAATTTCTAAGCCAAGAACTGGAATTGTTTTATAAACCCAGGGATGCACTGAATAAAGAATGTAGTGGCAAGCTCTGGCAACTGGCTGCCTAACAGCTCCAAACTCCCTACAACTGGGAATCTAATATTAAGTTTATATGATGGATCTAGTCCATTATCCTAGTCAGCGTGGCAGAATGCCCTCAGTTAATGGCAAGCTAGTCCATCACAGCTTTGTAGCAGATCAACAGAACACACAGCACAGTATTCTGCAGAGAAAAACTGGGGATTGTTTTTGTTGTGTTAATATACAGCACCTGAGTTGTGATATTCCACAGTTTGTTTGGTCTCATAAAAGTCAAGCATCTTATTTCCAAGCATTCTAGTAAACGGAGAGATAGCACTGGTGACAAGCAGCATAAAGGACTTCCAACACAGAGAAAGAAAACAAAACAGATGAGAAGGAAAAGCAGAAACTCAGAGAAAATGATTCACAAAGCCCAGTACTTTTTTCACATTACTGAATTCAGCAGCTTTCGCAAAGAGGTCACACTTCTGAGAGAACAACAACAAAAGCACACTTTCCTATCTCTCCCACCCCTACTGGAAACCAGGCTTACACCACAAACTGATTACAAAAGGGAATGTGGTCTCAGTCTGCTAGCCCACAACAAATAACTGGTCTCCTCTGCTGAAATCTTTCCATTGCTGCTCACAAAGCTTGGCCATTTGTCTCTTTAGTCTGTCCACGTACAGCCACCATTTTACATACTGAACTAGAACACCATTAAAAGTCTGGCCAGAATCATTTTGAGCCTAGAAACCTAAAACATTTAGCCAGAAATTTGGTATATCCTTACAACACCCCCTGAAAAATTGACAAAGGTGATGTTTAAAAACCAAATATGAAATATTTTTACTCATGTTTTCCAGTTACCCATTTCTCATCTTTAACACATTCCTGAATTTTCTGCGCATTAATCTCATTGTATCACAGGACCTAGATATGAATACTGGTTTCAAAGGTTTGAAACTTGGTTTCTTGTGTTGAAAGAAGATGATTTCCCACACCACCACTAAATGTGCAATGCTGCTGTATTTTACAGATGGTAAAGTACACCACATTTTCAAACAAACTTTATATAACAAAGAATAATTGCTTAGATAGCAAATTGCTTAGAAAAGCAAAGATAGCCTCACCCAATATTTTAAGGCTGCAATCCTATAGACATTTACCTGGGAGAAAGTCCCCACTGAACTCAATCAGTCTTACTTCTGAGTAAGCATGTATAACATTGTTCTGTAAACCACAGAAAACCCTGACTTTGAATAGCACATGCATACACACACACACACACACACACACACACACACACACAAATGCGTATAAACAAGGGAAGCCCATGAGCAGGAAAGAGAAGGGACTGATGATTACTGGAGTACCTCTTTATGCTGCCTTACACAATTGTGGATTTATGGGCTTAGATGAGAGCAGAGATTTTATCAGCCAGGATTTTATCGGCCAAATATAGGAGGTAAATTCTTGGATGATTCTCACACCAGATACCACCATTCAAGTCAAGGAAATATGAGAAAGGCAGTACTTTGGGAGACATAATCTGAGAAGCATCTGCACTAGCCAAATCTGCTTTGCCATCCCCAGGGAACAAGGATTGTAGCCCCTGAACTTTATCCAACTGTCTGAGCTCAGCAGTGTGTTGATAGCTATCCTGCTACTGAAAGATACC